AAGCCGGGTCATCAACCTTGGTTGAAGGGCAGGTGACGAATGACCGTCCACAGTCCCTCCTGATACGTCATGACCAAGTCTCTCCTCACATCTCCATCCGCACCTCTTGCCTACCAACCTCCAGCATGCCCTTCCTCATGCTAACCAAGCACCTATATGAAACTAGCAGTTGTATTCTGGATATCGAGTACATGGACTGCAGATGGTAAAGCAAAACATTTTAACTTAGATTAATAATGTTATTAGGATATTTATTATAGTGAATGCATTGCGTGCATGCATGTAAATTATTCTTGTTTTGGTGTTAATAGTGTTTAGGAATATAGGCTTACTTCTTGACCTATGCTGTAGAACACACACAAGGAAGTTAAATTGATAACAATTAAACAATACATATAAAGTTTTGCACGCTAATTCGTCCCACGCTGGCTCCCTTTGTTAAACAGTTGACGCATTTCTACAATGCCAACTTTGCACGCTCGTTAGTCTGTTAGGGCAGATACGGGAGCCTGATTCTCCAACCTGCTACAAAACAACGCACATGTAGGTTGATTTACGAACCTTTAATTTGTTTAATAATACACAATTATCTTGTACTTGCCTAACAATCCCTAAAGCTAACTAAATTAACACAATTCAAATGATAACACCGTAAAATTCTGTGCCAAATAAAATTTTTTTTTTTGGTTTTTTGGTCAACACACATGGAATACGACGCTCCCATACGTGAGAATAGAGACATTTGACGCTTCCATCCTCCGTCCTTCAGCGCTTCCACCGCACTGAAGTCCTGTGCATCCACGCTCACCACACGCTCCTCTCCACCTCCCCGACCTACCTCCTCCTCCGCCTCCTCAGCAGGACAGAGCTCCTATTGGCGCGCATGCGACCGCTCACAACAATCCACCCCAGCCCCGCCTGCTACAACACCTCCTCCATGGCGCTCAGCCGCGAGCAGCGGTCACCTCTCCGCGTGACGGTCAGCGCATACGAGGAGTTTCCCGCAAGGAAGTCCGGCCGCCCGGCTCCGCAACGAGCAGGAACCGTGCTCCCCGACGTGCCACACGTACGCGCCCCCTCGAGGGTCGCGCGCGGGTCGCTGCTCCGGTGCAACACGTTATCAAGTATGAGGAGGGCGGCGCCAGCAGCGGCGGCGGGCGGCGGGCCTTCGGCGACGTCCCACGCTACCGTGTCGTCGTCGTCGTCGGTGACGGTCGGTTGCGCACGGCAGACGACCCGCTCCACATCTACCGTCGGCTGCATGCACATCATCGCCGCGACTTCCGCCGATAGGTGGCGCTGCTCGCCTGGCTCGACCTCCACGACCTTGACCCGCGACGACCCCGTGCGCAGGTTCTCAAGCGCGACGTCGACGCACACCTTCAGGCTGCGCCCAGAGAACGCCAACTGGTGGAGGGCGTCCCCGCCCACTGCCTCTCCCGCCGCCGCACGCAGCGCGTCAACGACCCCGTCTGACCCCGCGGCGACAATCTCCGCCATCTTGTTCAGCAAGTGGAGAGTGGCGCGCGACATTGCAGGGTAGGATTCCGCCGGCGGGGCTGCGACCTTGGCCATCTCCAAGGAGTTTTCCACGTCCGACCGCATACGCTTGCAAGTATTGGTGAGAAAGCTGAAGATAGGGGCAGGGGAGGAGGAGGCGGCGGAGGGAAAGGCACCCGCCATCGACGGTGTCCCGACATCATAGGCGACCTCGGGGTCACGGAATCCGGAGTCGACCGCGTCCGACTGGTTCTGCGTACGTTCACGGATCTTGGCGAGGAGGCGAGGGTTGGGGACGGTGGCGCCCCCGGTGGAGGCGAGAGCGCGGGCGATGCGGCCACACACCTCCTCGCAGGCGCTCACATATCCGTCCAGCGCGGCGTCTCTCAACTCCTCAACGTACGGCACAAAGACGTGCCGCTCCAGCGTCGGCGAATCGTGATGGTGGCGCCGCGGTGCGAGGCTCATGTGCAGGTCCGTGATCTCAACGCCACCTGCTGTGCACTTGTTGAGCACGTGATTGACGTGCGAGTGTAGCACTAGACACAAAACCGAGTAATTAAAACGAGTAAAAGTCATGTATTCACATTTTCGTAGTAATTTCAAACGATGCGAGATACGAAATGCATAATTTCTGCTATTGCTCACACAATTAATTCTTCAGATGCGGCTTTTCCTAGTGCCCCAGTAATAGTAAGATGAGGGGAAGCAAGCAATGCGTTCACTAAAGAGAGCAGGCGTCAGTTTCAGTAGGGTGCATGTCTAAAAGGACTGAGCCTCACATTTAGGTGCTTCAGTTTGATCTAGACCCCCGCGCAGCTGTGATTGAACGAGCGTGCGCTATTTTTGACACACAACGGTCAATACATGATGATATATACCTGACAGCGCTACACACGGATCAATTGTTTCTGCACGCAGGTTATGCTGGAATTGACC